TCCCTTGCCGTTACAAGGGCACTGATTTATTATGCAACTTGGAGCCGTCGCTCTCCAGCATCGCTGTTATCAAAGGACAAATTCGTCGCCCTCGAGGACACGACATGATGGGCCAAGTGGGAGATGAAAGGCGACTGACTACCACCCCGACAACCTGGTCGATGGAGATTAAACCCAGCGAGATATTGAAAATCGGTCCCGAGTTGCTACTGGAGGTTCGGCCCGCTAATGGTACTCGCAATGTGGCGGTCGAGGAAGCGTTCATATACTGAGGCGACAGCGAGTTCCGGAGGCAGTATTATCCCGCGCTGGAGGATTTGAGTAACAACTACGGCATCAGCGGCTTGACCTAGGCAAATCTGGGATACGTTCTACGGACCGACTCTACGGACCCCAGCACAGGTAAGAAGCTCAAAAATGTGAGCGACAGCTTTCCGTGAACGGAGACCGGCAGGTTCATGAACGTCAATTTCACGCTTCGGTCGGAGACGGGCGACAGAATCGGAACCCTGTTGCGCGACGTCACCATCAGGGTCGCCTCTAAGAGGGACTGTGTCGCTAGCATTCCAGATCTTCTCATCGTCAGACGCAGATCGTTCGTGAGAGGGTACTGAATTTGGAGGTGCACGGTGTATTGCTGCATAGTACCCAGGGACATGATCACGGCGACAGTCAAAGTTTGGATGCTGATAAGCGAGCCGAACACGCTTAGACCTTCACACCTTCGCCTAAAAGAGGTCAATAGTGCTGTTGGGAAGCTGCGGGTTGTTAATGAAGCCTTTGAAGTGCGCTTTCGGCTCTTCTGGGCTCGATCGAGAGGTGCGGTACGCTGACTCTATGATGATCTATCACTACGCGACACTGGGAACGCCGGTCGCAGTGACCACCATCCAAGCGCTACCGCGTGTACTCTAGTTCTTGTCCACTTCGCATACTGAAGTAGGTGCTGCCATCGTAAACGGATCGGAGAAGAGAGAAGCTGAAAGCGTCCTGCACTTGGTGATGTCTTGGACGGGAGGGGTGCCAGGTGCCTAGAACTCCGGGATATGATGTAGAGTGCAGAACCCGGTATCCTGAAGCTGGAACACTTGTGGAATGCGAAGTGTCCGCGGAGATGGGTTTGCTGCCAGCGCGCAACGTCCGGACAGCGCATCGAACCACCCAGACATATCTCCAGGCAAGCCGTCTTGCAAGGGAGGCAAGCCGTCATCTTCCAGTAAGCACCCATGTCGCAAAGCTTCGCTTACTTGGCTCGTTTTGCCAGCATGTCTGCGAACAACGACCTCATAATCGCCACAGACGGCCAAGTATCAAGCAAGCCGGAGGTGCCGTACGTCTGTCACTTGACACACGGACGGTGCGTCAGACTGCACAAAGTAGTACGGCGGTGCGCCATATTGCGCCGCCAGGCTGCGTGTCAAAGCTCGGGACCAAGGATGTGTATATGGAGGAAGTCCAGCTCCCGCCAGGCGCACATGGTCAGGAGCATGGCATGCTTGGAGCGTTCCTCTGCCCGGAGTGGATAGGATCCAGGACTTGCGGGTCAAGTTACCGTCGGCGTGGAACGAGGTGCGAGGCAGCCAAAACTTACAACAGCTGCTACGAGCGACTCAGTTGCTAGCAGCTTCCTCTACAGTGTTGACCTCTCACCATACTTACATCCTCACTTCACCAGCTCTGTGACGGCGGTCGATACGCTTACTGTTCCCAGCGCTGCGGCCTACGAATTGGTCGCAGGCGAGACGCGATTAATGATGGTGTTAGTCAGCAAAGCGACTGACTCGCCGATCCGCTTTGGGAAGCCCGAACTTCGGCGCTTCGGTCTCCTTTCCCTACTCGAAGCTGTCCTTACAGTCCTTCTTGACGCTCCTACACTCTTATTTACGTGCATATAGTGCTCTTACACTGACTCCCACAAAGCTTCTTCAAACTCTCTCCACCAAGTTATCTAGGCTTGCTACTCCTAAGCTGCCAATTTCAAGCTGCTACTTCCAGCTGCTTTGCGAACGCTGGCAAGGCTAGGTCTCCCGCTGGTGCCATCACACCCCCTCCTCCTCCGGAACCTCTGCTGGATGCTGAACTGTGTTCTTGGCTGTGGCTGTAACACCGTATTATGTCAACTTGCCACTGCATCCGTTTGTCATTGAGAAGTGACATGATGCACCTGCCTGGTGAACCTGGTTATTGACTTTCTCCTTGGAGGCTATGATCCATGATGACGGTCACCAAGCCGTCCGCTGATTGCTACGGAGCGGCATCTAACCTCTAAGCTGGCAGTTTGCTTGCCTGTGGTGACGTGTCCTTCCCAGAAGCCTATGCTTCTCTACAAGGATGTATACCTTGCTACTAAAGACCATGCCTCCACCCTTGAACAGCACGCTGATTTCTCTACTGGAGCTGCACACACGAAGAGTAAGTCCTCTTCGGCTCGGAGGCCAGCATCCGCATGCTCGACCGCACTTATCCCTTATGCAATACAGACCACGCGCTCCGCTTTCCGTACATCGCCGAACCCGCCATTACCACTGCTTCGCCCCCCCCCCTCCGCCGCTGCAAAGTACAATCTCATCCACATAGTAGCCATGACGTCAATCCCTCTTGACCGAAACGCATTCGACAGAAGAATCGGGACAATCACTACGCGCACCATAGCCGATGGGTCGAACGCAGTGTAGTTGCCTTACCCTGCACATGGCCTAGGTACGAGGGTAGGAATAAGTATACGAAGAGGGGGCAGAGACCGAGTCCGCAAGTTGGCTGCGCGGGTGGGATCGAAAGTATCACTGGAAGGTGGAGTGATGTCCTAGTCGCTGACTGCGAGCGGTCGGAGAACGCCGCTAAGTCGTTGGATCGCAAGCTGCCGTTAAGAGAGGACTAGGTTGAAGGCGACGTGGACAGGCATGTTGAACCCACGATTGATGGCGATCAGTAGACATGCGGCGAAGTGGCAGACTCGCCAACTTGCGAGCTTCCATCGCGCCGCGTCTGTGCCTGAGTCGTGAGCGCAGCAGTTGTGATGTGACGGCCAGGTTGACGAATGATGCGCAGTCCGTCATGCTGTTGGCGTCTAAGCAGGTCTCTCAAGTGCAAACATATGCGTCGCAAGTTTTTGGCATGTTTTCGCACGCGACACTTCAGGGCTTCGGGCACAGGGCTGTGTATCAACCGCTGCAGCTGAAACCGAAGAAGACGGATGAGGCTGAGTAGATGGCGCAGTTTGACTCCCAACTGCTCGGAACGTCTCTGCGCAAGAGATGACATCGAGACTGCTCTAGTCCAAATGCTAGTAATGATCAGACGGAGTAGAAAGGGTAGAGGGTGATAATGGACTCGTGGTAGACGGCAAAGAGTGCGCCGGTGCAGGTGCGAGGAATTGCATCATGAGCAGCGCTGGCTAGATGATCCTGTCGCTGCAGGCGATGATAGGGAGGAAATGTAACCAGTCTGGTGGGTGGAAGTGACAGGTCTCTATGCAAGCCCGAGGCGGCCAACGCCGTGTGTTGCGCGCCGCAGTCTTGGTGGCGGCGTTGCATGGAGGTCGTCCCTGCGGCGCCAGGTCGATTACTATTCCCAAACGGTACATTTCGACGAACGAACGGTATGCGACGTTTCCACGGCCATACAAAACCACACTCTAGCATGTTGGTCGCACAAGTCAGTGCTGTTACACTCACAGGCTGGCTCTCGGGGCTGCGTCGCCGCCAACGATGTGCAGGCGGCTAATGCATGGCGCAATGCACGGCACTACTTCCAGCCGAGCAATTCCCCAGCGTTCCGGTTCTTGGGTCGTCTCGCTTGCGACGCGGTGCCGCATGGCGTACAATCGACCCACACGATCAACGGAGAGCAAGTGGCGTGTATCATATTGCACTTGATGACGGGAAGTTGGAATAGAACGTCCTGTTTGTTCCCCTGCCGCTCACGCCTCAAGCGAGCCCAACACTTGCTGCAGCCAACCTCTCTCAAGGACCAAGGACCGCCGTCTCGCAGCGCAGGCACACCGAATAAAGAAACATTGTCTATGCTTGATTGCGGTCTACTGTACCGATCCGGCGAAGGATTCTCTGCATACCAGATACCTCATCCACAGGAAGCAGCTTCACCTCAATGCAGTACTTTAGGCTAAGCAGTTGGGCGGCACATCTGTGAGCAGTGGTTGGGTGGCGCACTAATGCATCGTCAGATGCTTGCGCCTGCTTCGCCCTCCATTATCGGAGCATGGGGCTCGATCGAATCAGTTGGAGCTCAATCATCGCTGTCGCTGCTCCGTGCTTTGCTTACCAGTCCATTCGCTTGAGTCGTCATCGTCTGACGCAGCTGCTCAGTCGGGAGGCTATCATCAAGCAGCATCAAGCAGCGAAGGCAAGCGCTGAAATGTCGCCCGCGCGTGCATAGACTCATGCGCTGATGGGACCGTCTCGCATGGAGGCAGCTTGCCGGCCGCCCTACTAATGCGCATTCCTGAAAGCAACGGCGATCACTGCTTTCGTTGATGCGCACGTTCCATGATCCTGTGCGAATTGGCACAAGCCAGCAGAGGGCAAGAGCCAGCCGTCGCTCTCATTCTGGTGGCAGACGTTGATCAGAATAAAACTTTTCGCGTCGACGTCTTCAGCTTATTGATACATTCGCGCTGGTTGACAAGCGATCAGACGCCACCGAACGCCCGTCCCCACTTGAAGGTCGCTTTTCACGACATGTCAACTTCATCGACGGTGCGACAAGGTCCCTACCATGTCGACAGCGAGCCTGCACCTTGCTAGACCGATTGCTGTACCATACTTGAGCCGCATCGTCGTCACTCTGTTGGAACATACATCCCGCACATCCACGAGGGCGCTGCGCAGCGCTGTCCATTTAAGATGCAGTTCATCTTCGCATTCTTCATTGGGACGAGGCTTCACACACTCGATTTGATCATAGAACGCAGATTCTTTGCGCTCGCTGCTTGCACTCTGTCATGTCCCAGCCGAACGACTATGAGAGGTTCATGCAGTATCCCACGAAGATGGAATGCGGCGGCAAGGTCAACAGGAAGAGGGCTGCATTAGCGGTACGAGTCATTGTCCGGCTACTGCTCCAAAACCCCCACTAACGCCAAGCAACAGTGTCAAAGGTGTCGGCGGCGGAAGTTCAAATGTGAAGGTGATTATGGACACGGATGCGAACGGTGCTTAGCGTCGGATGGTAGGGAGGGAAGATGCACTTATCTACGTAACGGTGCACGCGAAGTGAGCTGGCGCCATCTCGATCGCGCAAGTCACCACACTGCCTTGTACACGGCGCAATCCTCTGACACGCCCGACGTACGTTCCCGACACTCTACACCTCCACCTCCTTCGAACGAAGATGGCGCAGCACTCCTGTCAACGATGCCGCCGGAAGCAGCACAATCAACCGCATCCCAACAACCGCCCGACCAGTACGTTATCCCGACCACAGAATGCAGCGAAATGCCGGGAGGGCATTCGTCAATGCCGCAGACGGTAGTGCCGGAAATGTCACAATCACTAGGGCATTGCCCATGTATGGGAAGCAGCCTGTGCCCCTTTTGTCATCCATCCGAGCGCGCCGACGTTCACGCTGCCTATGCGGGCATACCGGTCGCCTCTTCAACTTTCCGCAACTTGCCTCCGCTGCCGGTCCCCAAAATCGCGTCCTCTTCGAGATGGCAGCCGTATCCTTCGAGATGGCAACCATATCCCTCAACCAGGTACGCGCATACACATGCTCCCTCGTGGGCGATCTAACAGCTAATGTGGAGCTCTGGTCCTTACAGAACCTGACGAGCGCATCATCACAACCGGTGTGCAAACGACTGACCTTCGCAATGTTGTCTTTGCAGGCGGGACAGAGAGGGTGACGTCATGCCTTAACGACGACGGGCACAGAAAGTAGTGCACGACGGGGTAGAGTCCTTTCTGTGAGAAGAGGGGCCCGCAAAGGGAGGTGTGAAAGTTGAATGGAATACGTGTATGTAGGACTCTGAAAGGCTGGTTTTTCTGGCTACCTCGCCGCATAAGCTCTTCCCTCGACTGCCCTGCTTTCCTTTCTTCACAGCCTTCTTAGTCGAGGCTCGTTTCTATCTCGTGCGCTTCACGACCGTCCCCAACATGTGCTCTCATATGGTGGCACTCTCCATAAGCTAACATAAGGGCGCTATGGCGTCTGACCTGGGCCGGCCAGTCGCGAGAACGTCGTCGATCAGTATAAACTCGCCTAAGGTAGGTAAGTTAGTCTGCCGCAGGCGAACGAGCTGCCACGGACAACCCGACAAACCATAGACCGTAGCCCTGTCGACGGCATGCCGGCAAAGTTGACTGGTCAACAGGTCCGTTCTAGCCGAGGAAGAGATTCCGCAAGCCGAGCGAGTCCGGCAGTGAGTTCTCCGCCAAGTTCTTGTGTTTGTGATGGACCTTTTAACTTCCCTGGACCGTCCGGGCTCAAGACCAAGTAGTACGCAGCCGAGACCGTGCGAGCACACCTCTATGAAGACCTATTGCGGCATGACGGAATGCAGCAAGCATTCCTACATCTGCCCAAACCTACATTCGTCACTCTTGATACCAAGAGCAGATAGTAGAGCTGGTGCCAGCCCCAAGGTCCCACCGCAGCACGGACGTATTGACTCTCTGTTCTCTGGGATCTTGGACACGCCTCCCATTCTCTTCCACATGGATAAAGGCGCCATCAACGTGGGCCCGCACATGAACCTGCTTTTCACGATCCAGACTTGCTGCTCTGATATTGAACGCCCAGTACCAAATGTGCTCGAAATGGCAAGCTACCTAGTCCACATAAGCAGTATGGTGGTCTACGCTGTGGACTTCGCTTGACCTGGTCGACCTCTGTACAGCTTGATCACAGAACGTGTCTCGCTCAGTAAGCAAGCCTACGACGACAATGCCGCAATCCTTCCTTTAGTGATACTGCCCGACTTTCTTTCATCGACATTCCATGCCCGCTCTGTGTAGTTGTTATCTTTTGCAGGGTGCAGTGTCTGCCTCCGGCGGAAGCGGTGAGTATAGCTCCATGCAGTCTGACAATGCGGTAGCGACGCCCCAGGTAGCTCCGATTTCATAAGACTTCGGCTGTGGACTGTTACATTCCACATTTGTCGGTTGATCTGCGCTTTTTGCATAAAGCAGGCTGTGGTCTGCCTTTTTTGTCGTCTTCATTGCCGAGAATCCTATGCTCTCAGCCTACTCCCACTCCCGTCACGACCACGAGCGTCTGCTTAGGACTATGATGAACTGAGGCGTCAACTACGACCTCGTAGACGGGCTCGCGACCTCCAAGGCCATGAAGGGCATAGATGAGCGCTAACCTGTTCAAGCTCGTCAGCACAGCAAGTACGCCCCCAGCATCGACCATAATGCTCATGACGCGGATGAGGACGCGATGCACTCAACGACTGCTCAGTAGGTACAGGACGTCGGGGATATCAAAGGATCGCCGGGAGCAGCATGTTGGCCATTATGACCAATGCCAAGCACGTTTCGCCATGTTCATTGTGCTGTCTTGACCTCCCCAGCTCGCGCTCTATGCAGTCATCGCAGGTCTGCTCGATTGATCTCGGTCAACTGTCGAACTTTGCGCCGTGGAAACCCCAACTATCATGAGGTATACCAGCCACAAGACTCTTGTTGAGGGTTGTATCCAAGATGTCGGCCCGTGCCACATGGAGAGAGTACCACCCTAGCAATTCTACAGAGTCTACGACGTGTTGCACAAGGATGACCATAACGCCGTGGCGAAGCGCAAATTGAATTTGTGGGCGTATATCCTTCCAGGCAACGGCCGTGCACGTATGACTCTGGAAGTGGTGTTGAGTATGATCTAAGCTCGACAGCCATCACAGCTCAGGGTAAGCTATGCCGCCTACGGTGGGTTGCGTGAGGATGATGTGAGAAGTGGTCTGAACCACCATTATAGCACCGATGTGCAGAAGCGGTCAGCGCTCAATTCAGCCCGGCACACAACCTGTTCTCAACATGCAGTGCGAAGCTTGTTACCACCACCATCATCACCCCACCAACCCCGGGGATCACTACCAGCACCACCTCGGCGGCCCCTAGATCACTACCACCGCCACCTTGGTGGCCCCACCGCCTCAGCGTCGCAGGGCGCCGCCTCCACCACCTCCTCACCTGGTAGCAGCTCTGCCACTATCCTTTCAGTATGCAGAAGCTGTCTCACTATCTTCTCCGCATCTAGAAGGTCTCCCAGCATCTTGTCCGCATCTAAAAAGCTCTGTCACCATCTTCTCAACATCCAGTAGCTCTGTTACCATTCTCTCAGCTTGCAGAAGCTCTCCCACCATCTTCTCAGCATGCAGAAGCTCTCCCAGCTCTTCCTCGACATCCAGCAGCTCTGCCACCATCCTGTCAGCATCGGCACCAATACCAATACCTGCGCGCCGACTCAAGCATCACATGCAGTCAGTGCGAATGCAATAGCGACGTCTTGTTGCTGAAGTTGCGGCCACACCTTTTGCGCGAGCTGCATCGCCACCGCACCAACCCGGACTACGTGCCCATTGTGTCGGCCTTGTCACAATCGAGCAAGCGCCACCGGCCAGGACATCTCCTCTCTCGACCGCCTCCAAAGTCACTTAGCAGGCATGTGTCGACAGCATGGGCGTCAGGGAAGTGACGCGCAGTCTGAGGAGTTGATGAGGGATGATGACGAGGAGCTGGACACGATTGGGTTGAGGATGTGCTGGCACCGGACGGGCGCGTATTTGGTGGGAGGCGTAGAGGAGCTGGAATCTGAGTGGGGCAATACGGTCTTACTGGAAGAAGCGTGGCGGTTGCTGTGAATGATTGGCTGCGTGGCGGAGGAAACTCGAACAACAACTTGAACAACAATGATTTGAGCAGATGTAAACAGGACAGTATCTCGAACTTCATCTACTTCCAATATTATGACTAAAAATTAAGGGACATGATGCGTGGCGGGCCTTTCTCTCGTACTGTTGCTTGCTCTGGCTGACATCCATTTCCTTCTTTCGTCCATTCGTTATGCCCAAGGACCAACGCGCGTGCCCCACCGACATCATCGAGCACACACCATCTTCTCAAGCGCAAGCTGCCGGCCAACGTCGACCCGGTGCTACGCCTCGCCTACAAAATGCCGAGTGCCACGTTGCACTGGCTACCCTATCCGCCTCGCAAGGCAGCATTCTTGGCCAATGCAACGGCGCATCCTCAGCACCGCCACTTGCTCGCGCTGTTGGCGCATCGGACTGAGGTCGACAAGACATTGAACGCTTGCTGCATTGCGAAGTCACACGCGCACAGGCTACGAAGGATGTCGCAGTGCTGAAGTTGCTGCAGCGCGCCGCGGATGATGATGCTTCATTGAAGCGGAAGTGGAGCTACGAACAGGCATTGAATCACGAGCTCGTAGGCGCTTGCCTAGTCTTTCGGGAAGTACCTGCATGTGCTCCGCATCATCAGCAGCATGCGCCGTTGGTCCCTCCTCCGCCCCGACGTGAACAGCGACATGCAGATCGATTGCGGCGCATCGCTTCCGCCTTACGACGCACTTGCACCCGACCCACCACCCTCAGCCATCTCCGCTTCGACAACATCCCGGACTGGTCAGCGGTGCTGGAGATGAACGTCATGGTAGACCTCAACCAGGCAGTCGCGCTGCTGCGGCAACACCGGGATCATTCTGCTCGCCGCACGTGGACCGACTGCTCTTATCCGCTGGCGAGAGTCTGGACTTGTGGCATGCCTTGAAGTTGATCGTCTTCGGGCTCGAACGCCAGCGCAGCATTTTCGTTGGACTCGGGCTGCGCGACTTCCGCCCACGAGATTGCCGACTACTGGACGCAACAACAACACGCCCAGCTTGACCTTCCCCGCGCCTTTGCCGCTGCCCAAGTCTGGCATCTTCTCGATTGGATCGGCAAAGGCTCGAACCTGGGAGAGCATCTTGGGCAGGAAACTCTTCGGGTGGGCCAGACCGTAATGTGCGAGTGGGCGGGTCGAACATTTGTGCCCGAGGTGACATGTGAACGTGGCGGCAAGGTCATAAACATTCCCTGTGCCGCGTGGGAGCGCGTCTGGATGTTCCAGGATGTGCAATAGGAGCTCACAACGGCTGGCGATAGTCTTTCTCCATACTCCGCACAGAACGAACGCACGTCGAGAGGCACAAGACTGGCTGAACCTCATCGCTTAACACTTCCGGGTGGTACCTGCGGCCTCGCGAGACACCGATCAACCCACGCTGGCCACATCTCCCACTACGCATCAGTCGAGACGTAACGCGCTCCTGCAGGGCTCGACTTTGCGCCCTTTCGTCACCCTGCAGGCATGCAAGACCGCGCACCGACCACCGCAGCAGACTGCTATCGCCTGAAACGAACAGGCCCCCGCTCTTGTTTCACCGCGGACGATACGGAGGCCTAGCGAGCACCACGAAGCCAACCGGAAGACGCAATTTGAGTAATGCACGGATTTGTAGGTTACGCATGATTACGTGCGTAGGTCGGCAGCGGATTCCGAAAGCTTAATCTCTAGAATACCCACCTATTAAGATCCTGGTCCATGTTGACAATCAAGATGCAGGGTAGCTTCTCTGGACGCTGCTGACCGAGATCATGAGTGTGCCTGATCTGCTATGCAAGCGCCACACACCAAGCTACGCGGCACCACCGAAACTCAAGCCCGTCATCACCACCGATCCACTAGCGGAGACATGGCATCAGATTACTACAGACACACGGATACCCGGTGGCCTGCGTTTGGCGAGACACGTTTTGCGCAACAGCGACATAAGCACTCTTGGCACGCGGTGACCGGAAGATGGCTTCGCGTGGCTGCCGCGCCTGTCGGAGCATCTGAACGCCAACACATGATGCATGGTACTCTACTCCTGACTTCATTCATTCTCCCGCCACCATTACATCGACAAGCCGCCATCAGCAAGCTGCCGCTCTACCAACGCTATGCTCCCTTACTCTGGCTTTAGTGCTGAACATTTTCATTGTGCCGCCTTCATGGCTGAAAATTAGGCAAGGTGGGAAGGGTGCCACACCCTAACGTAAGTTACACGACATCAATCTGGATTCTGTTATTACTCAGCCGCAAAAGCAGGAAGGCACGAGTGAATAGCAAGGCACGAGTAGAGAGCAAGACCGAAGCAACAACTCCAATCTGCAGCCCTTCCGCTGTCACCCATTGCCTCGATCGAACTAGGAAGGCGCCATGACAAGAGCAGTCCGTAGCGCCTGCACGGCCGAAGTAGACAGATCACAACCTATCAACAATGATCCACTCGGACTATCTTCCGAATGAAAACTCTTCACGTTGGACAGCGTGTTGTCTCGATAGCACGTTGAAGCACATGGCTGAAACGGAGGAGCCTGAGGTGGTGGTGGTGGTGGGATCTCCGTCCAGGATGCATGTCCAAGCGATCATCTCTGGCCGCGAAACGGCCTCCGAACTCCAAGATTTCCTGCCTGGCTCCCATGCTTACGAGCTTCGCCATGGCAAACGACGCAGTGACGTTTACTTGGCCGTTGGAGCGGCGTTGACCCTCGTTTTATAGGCGTGACCGGATCAAACTGTCCAAACCATGGATAAGCACTGACGCACCAACACCGCTAAGATGAAGACGAGGTCACGAACGCCGCCGCCGTGACAAGTGGGTCATCGCGGTCACACCACTCTGATTACCAAAATGGACGTCGCTAGGAGAGTGCACAGAGCTTCTTGGATAAGTATTTTCTACCTTACACTTGAAGGATAGCTGTACGAGGACCAGTAGAAGAAGTTGGTAGGATCTGCCTCAGGAGTCTTCGTAATACTGAGCCCTATTACTGAGAGCGTGGCTGTCTTCAAGAGGATAGTTGGCAAGACGGCCGTAGAGTAAGAACGCGGTTGCACGACTGTTAGCATGGCGCGCCAACTGAGGAAGATGGGATGGATGACATTCTCAACGATCGGTTATGCACTCTCGGTCGCATCGCAAAAGACTTCCGCAGGTAGTCTTAAACCGCGTACCTACTGCCAAGCCTATCCGCCTGAAGATCGCAGCAATGTCGACACAAAGCATAAGGCGCGATAACCTCGACGGTGCACCCAGGTTCGCATGTCTGTGCGGATGAGTGGTGAGCCTGCGACATTGACACGCTGCGTAGAAGGCAATTGAACGGAGAGGCCACGCGCGCGACATGGACGAGCCAGCGGAGCTGCGCGTCTCGAATCGCTTGTGATCAGAAGCAACTCTCAGAGAGGATCCACTCACCGATCATGTGTACGCATCCGTTAGCACGCCATAAGCGCTGCCTGTCCTGGATACTGTTGGCGACGACGATGCTCTGACGACGGATGGAGGTCATGTACAGACGACACCTGTACGCTGCGTGCAGCTCTGGCCCTCGCACTCTCGACACTCATGTACAGATCTTCACGGTCCTGAGCCGCACTTCTTGCACCCACGCAGCACCTCTATTGCTGCAGACTCGACATTGTTCACATCTGCTCACAGAGTGCTGTCTCCGCCATGGTGGCTTGTGGTACTGCTATAAGTGCCGGGATTTCGCTGCAGCCCATGAGTGAGCAGCGAAACTGCTGTGGCGGGGCGCTCTGCTCTTTGACTCTGAAGGTAGATCTGAAGACCGTCGCGCGCCTCCGCTTCGTCGGTTTTACTCCGCTGGTCTACAGGAGTCCACACGCTGTTGATATCTGACAACCTTCCAATCCTCCCCTTTCCCAAGCTGTCCAGGAAGTCGGTTCAGCTCTTGACGGACGACGCCAGCGGCGCCAGTCTTTCGCGAACTTGGTGTCTTCAGTAGGTTCCGGCGCTCGACGGCACCTGGTCTATTGTTTTTGGCAGCAGACGGAATTGGGTTAGCCTTACCGCCAAGCTGATACCGAAGTCGTTGTATGATCGTGTAAGCCGTTGAGGATGACCTGCTGCGAGGCATGGCCTTGATCTTTGAACGGCCATCACCCTCATCGGGTCGGAGCGGTTGCAAGTGTCTTCGACAGCATAGGCGGCTCCATCGACTATCGCTTGATAGACGCTGTTAGCTTCTTGACTGTATCGGCCTCAATGTCGCGCTTTGCAAAGGCAGCCAGGGCACACGCTCGCTTCAACGCGACGCTACCGTCAAGGCTGACCGAGTAGCGACTGTTGACTCATGATTGGTGTAACGCCAGACTTGGGTCTCGTTGATCTTAACGCCGGTCTTGCTGGAAGTGGCAGCAACGCTGCTGTCCTCCTCCACGGTCTTGTACTTTGCTTCAATGGAGGTGTCATCTGCAGGCTTACCAGTCCTAGGCACGTAATGCGTTATTAGTCTTCCCGCGCGGACGGATGCCTGTGGACGACCTCCATTGGAACCTTTCTCAGGGTGTCTGATGTCCTCACTGGCTGGCTAACCAATGATCCGACGGCGCCTGGTGACGGAGCAAGCAGTCCTTCAGATCATGTCGCCGAACAACCTGCTCCATAGAAGCGCTCCACCAAGTGCGCCAAAGTGTGACTCTTGCAGCAGAGAAAGAAGCTACGAGGACACCATGAATGAGATTCGACTGCAGTCCTGGATGCAAAGCTTCAGCTCTTGGCTCCGGCTGCTGGTTACCTTGCTCATCAGCTCGAGCCTTATAGTAGTGGCGCCACGATCGCAACTTGTTGGTGATCGAAGCCTTCGACAAACGCGTATACGGCAGCTCCGTAGAGCAGCATCGTTCACCTCATTGCTCCGTATCCGGCTCGTCATGTTTTCTCGTATGACGATCGTTACGACACGGAGCGCCTCGGTCGACTTCGCCCAGACTGGCCTCATTCCTTGGGCTTACCCACTCGACTATATCCACCATGTACGAACAACTGTTCGCACGCTTGTATCCGCTCAAAGTACCGGACATGCTATTTACAAAGCCTGTTGAATCTAAGGTCTACACGCTCGAGAGGCTGTGGAACTTCTAGACTAAGTGCAAAGGTTTGGCAGCATCAGCATGTCAATAGCTCCTTTTGGCGTTTCACTTCAAAGTCTTTTCTTTGCTTGAAGTGAGACCCATATCGATAGAGCCGCTACAGCAGAGCTACGGCATCTTTTGTGAGTATGCTGAGCTCAAATGATACATGTACCTCGTTCAGTCGTAGGGTTTGGTACTCGGGGTACAAACCTAGGGTACAACCTAGGGTACAAGCTTGGCTACCGTGACTGAGAGCTTGTACCCCGCTTCGCGTCTCTGTCGTATTGTTCCGCCGTCCTGCGTTCTCCTTCTTCTTTCTTCAGCCGCGCCAGCTCAAAGTAAGTTGACTTCTCGTCGTTCCCCTACTTGGGCTCACAGTCGTGGCTGCTTAGATGAATGAATGCTGATTTGAATGATAGTCCAAAATGGCGAACCCCCTTCCGGTCCGCGTCATTGTCACTGGCAACCTCTTCCCTCCCCACAATGATCGCTATACCTTTTCTAAGACGGATACTGTGCTGCAGGTGAAGCAGCGCATCAGCGGTATGTTCGCCGCAAGCATGCGTCTCACGATCTTATACTGATAGAGCCGTAGAAATGGAGCGCGTCCCACCGGAGCGCATGGAGCTGCACAAGATGACCGGACAGCCCCCGTTCGGTTTGATGATGGCAGGTATGCGCTCTATACTTCCAAAATGTCTTCTCTGTGGAAGGTATGGGCACTTACGCCAAGGTATTAGACCACCGCACCCTCGCCAGCTACGGAGTGCGGCCGGGCAATGTTCTGCAGGTGTTTTTTTATGTTCACGAAGACGGCGACGAGATTTTTGTGCGCGCCAAGCGCCGCAATGCGCACCCGCGCATTAATGCAGATGATTTTTGACGATGTCCCACTTTCATTTCTTATGCTGCTTTAGCTTCCACTCACTGCCTTTATACTCTCCTGTCTCACCCACCCTTGGAAAGCCTTTTCACCTCACTACTTACCTGCGCGCTGACCTTGCCGAGTCGCCTCATCACCTGCATTCCCTCAATATTCCTCGGCTCCCTTCAAGGCCGCCACGCCTCTCGAAGTCCCCAACCCCCCTTTGCACCCTCGTCCCCATCCCTCTTCAAGCCCGTCGCCACGAAGTCACTGTAGAGCCACCAGAGTCATTCGGACGTGTCGTCTGTCTGTCGTGCTGATAAGAAGTCCGACGGTAGTGCCAGGGTCAAGTGTCCGAGCCTCCACCGGTGCGGAGCGGCTTTGGCACGCTCGCCATTCTTGTTTGGTAGAATGAGCTTCTTAACAAGCATCGTTCGGAGATCGTTGAGGTGGCAGTAGACAGTCATAAGCCGCTTCAGTACAGTATGTAATGTCGAAGTTCAGTAGTAACTGGTTCGCCCTTCTGTAATTCCAGTAGGCAGTCCACGCACATAGCACATACAGTTTTGATTCCACTCCGGTCCGCCTGCTCGTCGCAATTACGGTAGGCTAGACCTACTTGCCAAGTTTGTGGCCGGCTTCAACACTGCCGCTGTTACTGGCCTTGGGCTCTGTCGGAAGCATTTGCGTTGTTCGTCTTACGATAAGTGATGTAACGACTCCAATGCGAAGCCTGCTCACGGATAGAGCGCTCCACGTCCTTATGCTGTCAACTTTGGTGGCCGTCTTTTATGGTAAATGCACCATATTCGTCATCTCTGTCTCTTCGAACAGATTCGTCGAGCTTTGAATTAGGGAGTCCCAATAACTTGAGATTGTTCGGATGCTATTTTCGGCAGAGATTGCACGCTTCTGACTCTCTGATGCCGACGGCTGAATTGATCGCGAGTAAGGAGCAGCATAGCCGTATGTTTCCACCTGAGTGCGCTGCTTCTCGAACAGCCTCAGCGCATGGACGTTCGAGCAATGGCCGGAGCAGATCAATCGCTGACGCGAGTGTTCTCGGCCACGTGCAAGTCGAGCGTAAAGCGACAAGGTTGCTCAGCTGCATCTTACGTGGAAGTGGTCTCGATAACCACTGACAAGGAGATGTCTGCCTACAGGAGTTCGAGGCAAATAATAGCACTCGTCTAGCACTCGATGACCACTGAGGCGATGGGAAGTAATCGAGCTTAGTCAAAAGGGGTGGCAATGATGGCCTTTTTACTTCTCCTGCGTCGGCTCTATCGTGCGTTCAATGTCGCCCGTGACGGTACGCTGCGACACATACATTTGGTCGTATGTACAGGAGGCACCAGGTTTGCGAGTAACTGGCGGAGGATGCCATAGGCGAATCGCATTCGTGGATCCAGGGCGGAGATGCTTTCTTCGCCGTTATACCCCGACCGTCGACAAACCTTCACCGACTACACTTCTCTGAAGAAGTGTAGGCAAGGCGCTTCATCGATAGCCTTCTTCATCAGGCTAAGAACCAGGCCCGTCGTCACGTCTGCTAGCGTGACAGGTAGCAGCCCGATAGCGAGCCTTGTCCCGGAGCTTACTACCTCATCCACCATGATACTATCAGAACCAGATCATTTATCTGCATGTTTCGAGACTCCACTGAAGCCGGATATCCACCTGACCGCACGCGACTGGGCCGACTCTCCAAACCGCTCAGCCCCTCCTGCGGAATCCATCTCAGAAGGTCGCCTCTCCCGCGCGTGAGCCACAGGCCCACAGCTACAATTTACATCAGCACCCCTTGCTACGATGCCTCTGGATGAGGTGGCGTCAAGGCCAGCAGACTTCCTGTGGCAGGCAAGGTTCCACTCTTATTGACAAAGTGGTACGCTCAAGTTTTATCCCACCTCCTTCCGCACACCCGCGTATGCAACGTTGACTACTGCAGCCTAAGTACATGTTGCAGCTGTCGCCAGGTCTTTCGCCGCGGCGGAAATGTTGGCGAGGAAGTCCGAAATATCTTGAGCGCGTGAGCGAAGTTGGTCCCGGGCTTGTGCAACATGGCCGCAAGCGCTTTGTAGGGCTACATTGTGATGGCGGCAGCACTTTTGTTTCTCCTCCAGTATCGACTCACGCGTACGGATCAAGCGCTCCCTTCGGGCAATTTCGGATGCTTCGTTGACGGAGTCCGGCGCTTGTCGTAGTAGAGCGACTGTGTTTCGCAGGTAAACTAGATCCTTGGACATTCTGTCGAGTTCAAGGGCATAGAGCGACTCTGACCTGGTGATAGTCGCTTCTAGGACGTCACAGGCGAGCGCGCAGTTCTCTGCCATGCTCTTTGTTGATCGGTACGCTTCTATATAAGTCCTGGTTGTACGCCTCAAATGCGAGAGTACGTCTTCAATGCTTCCGGATGGTAGATTCACCACCGATAGATCGGTGGCCAGGTGCCGATGTGGGTCTTCGAGCATAATTGACAAAGACGAACTGTCGAACCCTTCACCAGCTAGCGACAGAGCGAACGTGAACCGCCAAACATCTGGGTCGATGGTTCCTGGGAGACATGAGAAACGATTGAGAAGCGTGCACACTCCGTAAAGAAGTATGTAGATCCCACAGTCATACGCGGTCGATTGCCAAGGAGGAGCGCGCTGCGGTGCAATATTGTCGCGCGTGAACCCACTGATAATAGAGCCCTCTTCGGCATGGCATAGCTGAACCGATGCTATCGCCCGCCAAGTAGCATCGGCGTAATAGGTGGTTCCCAATGGGTCATAGATCGTTACTTGTCGCGTACTCATCGCGATGACACCCAAGGTCCAATTTGAGGCAGGATGGTGTACTGGTACGAGCACGTGTTCACATGCGGCGTGAAGCCTCACAGGCGTGCGAGACTCATGCATGGAACCGAAGGCAGGGTCCAATGCCAAAGAAGAACCGCCATTTGATGCAGTGAAGATTCGGAAGAGCATTTCGATGGCTGTAGCTGACACACACTGTTTGGGCTGCAGACTAGCAAGTGCACTCATCCGGTTCGCGTGGCCAGATATCGGAGTGTTGTAAAGCTTAGCCTCATCAAGCGAGGAGACGTCTGAACCTTGCCCAATACTCAAGGACTCAGCCCCTTCGCGTAGTGCAGATATTTGTGATGATGGAGTTTGCGGTTGAGCGTCTCCCACTTTCGTCTTACAAAACTTCTTCGGCAGTGCTTGTGGTAGTGGCATTGACGTCGCTCGCTTCAACCTGCGAGACGCTGGAAGCGAGTTCGATTTTGACACAACGTCCGCACCGCACTCCGGGAGGGTGGGAGCAAGTACGATGATGTCACCCTCATTGTCGACCTCCACGCTCGTCGATCTTGATGGCGAGGGTAAAGAATTAGCCGTCTGGTCGAGCAGATGAGCATGAGCGCTCTGGCCGCCGCGTTCCGCAAGCCCGTTGACGTCGGAAGGCACCCAGTCACGAAATCGAGACACTCCTGCGCCAGCCGTCTCTCCAGCCTGTCGGGAGTAGCGCGCAGCAAGCAGAGCAGACCATGCGAGGGAGAAGTCCGGTTGAATTTTGGCGCATTTGACAAGGTCCTTGAGAAAGCGCGCCGACACTGATGCGAAAAGCATGTAGACTTCTCCTGCTGACAACCCCCATGCGCTTGATCGAAGACCGCGAATTCGCTTCCGGAAGTCCTCACTATCATTGCCGAAACGGATGTGCTTGTCAAGATATGAGCGTGTCTGCTGAGAGAGGGAGCGCCATCGTATTGGCAAATCCTCGTTGGCAGTCTCGCTACGCAATCTGTCGAGCAGGTCGATCACGTCTTCTTTCGGCTTATTGCGCGCAGAGATGGCTGCTTCGAGGTCTTGGCTCGTCTTGTCAGACATCTATGGACTACCTTTTCGACACCACGCAAAAATCCGACATGTTGACGCTGTCGCCTCCCGCTTGTGTGCCCTTGGGCTCATAAGAAGAAACGAGGTCCGGGGGTCCAGCCGTCCAAATGTGGGGTTCTGCAATGCCTAAGGCATCAGCACTTTTGGCCGTGTAACTGGTTCCCGCACACGCCACGGCCAAATACATTTAACACGAGACTGTAGATTTTTTGCACATTATGCTTCATGCGCCACCATAGCAAGAGAATAGGAGGCGCACACAGTGCCGCGAGGTGGTATGGAATGGCACATCGATTTTGCGTTGATCGGAAGACCAAATCCCAGGGCAAGCCACGGAACCGGCCTTTCATGGACCTGCAGGTGAAGCTTTTTGAGAATAACGCGAGGCTGGCGCTTCGGATGCCATGAGTCTGGATCTTGATCCGGCACATACGGTACATCCCAAGGCCTGACTGATGCCGGTAGCGACGTCCGCGAGTTCGAGAAATCGCCCCGGCTATTCCGTGAGCTCGAGAAAGCACATCGACCATTCTGCGAGTTATGGCGCTTATCACGCTTATAATATGATCTGGTGGAAAGCAATGTGGTGCAAATGGAGGCACAAGTCGGCGCGCTGGAAAAATACAGTCTCGTGTCGTGGTAGTGCAGCGTACACTCACTTCGCGTGCTTCATCTACGCTTTGCACTCACAGCAGGACGCTGCTCCACCTGTAGCGTTGGCGCCGACAATAACAGTCGCATTGCTTCACCACCGCACTCGCCGCTCGCTCCACGCGTACCTCGTCGTTTCTCATACCACCTCTTAAGAAAGACTTGGTAGCGTATCGTCCGCTTTGGGTGCGGTGTCGGTTTTGCCAATATCGGCAGCTGATATCACACCGCCCTTCAGTCGCCATTGTCGTCAATTCTGGAACATCTTGGCGAGTACGAGGCCCTCTGCAGTGTCTTCCATGAAAGCTTCTGCGAGCCGAGAGGTGGAGTGGATATACCCGGCTAGCTGAAGTAGAACGCTTCGTCCGAGTCCTACAGGGTTGAACATCCATGTTGGAGGTATATGGGGCTCGTACATGAGTGTGTGGTATGGCCGATTCGAAAACGGTCCGCTGAAGAGAGCAAAGCTTGTTATAAAGCCATGGGAAAGGGCAAGTGCTCGTTATGTGGACGAGAGGGTGTAGTATCCTCGGCGCGTCTATCTATGACTCAACGCTGGCTTCGCTATTTCTGAATCCATATGTGTGTAGATGATCTTGTGCAGCAGGCGTTGTATGTCGTGCAAGTTGCTTTGCAAAAAGCTTGACCGTGACGGATGAGAGCTTGATGATCTGGAAGGAGGTAAGCGACCTATCACAGCACACAGCACTAATCTCCCATTGACGGTTCCGAATGCTCGAACGAGCTAAAAGACCAGCTCCAGCCACCTCTCAGACATATCCCGCCCCTTTCTCGGTCCGGGAGTCCATGCGCAAGATCCGCGAGGTTCTTACGTCTGCCGTGCGCAGTAGGCAGATGTGACTGTCGGTGATTCTCCGTGTCGTGAAGGGGTGCTTGGTCGTCTCCTGAGAGGGAAAGAAAGGTTCCACCCGCTTAATCTAATCAATCTGCTGCAAGCGAGAGTCATCGCTTCCTACTATTTGTCTCCTAGTAGACAACTCTGCAAGCAGCACATGCGAATATAAAGGCAGCTCAAGCTGAACACGCAAGCGCGGCAGATTCAATCTTCGTTCGCCGTTGGTGCGACGCAGAGGGAGAATCGAAGCGCTTGACACGAAGGTTGCCCGATGCTAGCCAGGCGAGGACGAAAATCCTCCGTCCTTCAAGCGGCAGCACTGCATGCTTAGAGTAAAGAAGCATGATCCGTAAGCCTAGAAGCTTTCGCCGCCCACTTGCCTTGCGACCCGCTTCTGCGTCTCGCACTCACCGGTTGCAGCAAAAGAGCCTTGAATAAAGCTAGTAACGTAATGATGCCGTTAGTGACGGGCAGGCGTGGAGGAGCTGACGGTGCTGTCGGTCCGGTTCTGCCAGAACATTTGACGCTAAGATAGCCAGACAGCGAAGTCGATGATAGCAAGCCTGCCAACGTACTCAGCATCAGATACTTCATTGTGTTCATCTCGACTGAAACCGACAGCGCTTTAGCAAGGCGAGTGCGCATACAGCTTGGTGTCGCCGCGGCGCTCTGTCGTCATCTTGGCCGTGCCCGTTTGAGTAATCCCAACAGAGTCGGGGTCATTTGGCGGTGTCGAGTGTGGAGGCTCCGAGGGAGTCTGAGATCTCAAGAGCAGCGGGAAAGCGAGTGAATATGAAGATTGCCTCTTCCAGCAGAAGGGGTGATGCCATGGTGTGGAACTTTCCGGAATGCTAGCTGGAGGCAGGGAGCGGCAATGATGGAACAGCCAAGCTATGACTCCATCACTCTACGGGTAGGCACCACCGTGAGGGCTATCGTGGATCCCATCAAAGCCGGTTACACGAATGTAAAGGCGCCATTCGCGCCACCACCGTTGGCATGGAATAGCCGTGCCGCAGTTGTACGCAGAGACACTGCAAGAGCGGGAGGACTCCTCTTGCGTACCGAGTACCTTAGCGTACCCCATCGAGCCCTTGGCACGCCGCTCTAGCAGGCCACGCCGGCTAGAGAATGAACCATTTGTAAAATGCAGTATCTGGTAAGATGCAATAGTAAGGCACAAGAGCGGCTTCAACGCTATCAAGCAGATAGATCCGAATGCGACGATAAGTCGTCTGATGGCCGGAATATCCAACGTAACCAGGGGGGGGGAGAGTAACTGTACGTAGCACGTGGAGACGGAGGGAGGGAAGAGGGAAGAGGGGAAGGCTGAGTATATCGTAGTGTAGACGTCCCTGGCATAGGTAAGACCTTGATATTGTTAGAAGCAGTGATCGCAACAGTCAGTCAACGTGATGGCTGAGAGGGCCGACAGACTGTCTGGTCAAGTCGATCATGGCTGCGTAATGATGATGTTCCTTCTTTTCAATCGGTTGACTGGTTGAGTGAGTGAGTGATAGGGCCGCCACCGGACAAGTTAGTTCCACAGGCCCTCATCGAGGTCGACTGAGCGGCTTCGGCATTGACGGAGTCGACCACATGAGATGCGACCGTACTCGGCATCATCGCACTTGCAGACAAGACCCTCTCACGTGTTTGCAGTATGGAGCAACGAAGATGCTGATTTTGAGCAGCCTGAGCGGCAAACGTGGTAGGGTTTCGCTCGACGCGATACCACGGGCAGTGCTAAGTGGAGTAAGTTCGATAGCCGTTGTTGGAGGGCTCACATGCCAATCAGCTTAGCATCCTCGAAGAGGAAACGTTGATCCTGCGAGCTCGATGCGATGGTCGTGACACGACCGCCAAAATGTGCCCGCACCCTGGGCACACGCGCAATAATGTGCCTGAAAATTGAGCGCCTTTTGGCGAATGTGTCTTTAGGCAAGGCACGTGCGACTCAGACAAAACAAGGAACGACGCGTTGGATTGGGTTGCAGAGGTCACATACATGGTTTGCGGTAAGGCGGAAGATGTACCGGCTCGCAGTGACCGTAGCGTACATCACCATTATGGTCAATGCCCGATTGAGGCGGTCGAGACGTAGCAGCGACGACATACACGTCAACGGCTCAATATTGGATTGACGGGATTGAGGTGTAGCGGCGGTTCACGGTGCGTCAATCGCTGAAATGGACGCACATTTGCTGCATGTCTTCTTCACAATGAGATGCGCTCTGGCACATTAACGGCAAAGGTTGCGCGGTGTGGCGATCCCACAGTTTGGCGGACTAGAAGGCCGACAAACCGATCATCCTTGACTTCCTTACCGGCTACTCGATTCACCATGTCTGCGTTCTCTCTTCTATGCTCTTCAATACCTTCCATTACTACCAAACCACTTTCCTACACACTTTACCGGCTGTGAAGAAGCAGAAGCTACTCGTTTAGGGCGGAGGCAATGCCAACATTACTCAGGCATGCATCACATCGTTCTTGCCCACCACCTTTCTCCAGCAGACGTTGGCGATTGAAGAGGAAGCGGTAGCGGAGGAAGCGACTACCGTAGCAGCGATAAGTCAGGCAGCAACGGCCAACATGGACGTGAGCTCCACGAGCAATGACAACTGGCTATGGTCTTCCTCACGGCCTCCCATCTCAAAAATCTTACTCTCTTCCTCATCACGTCCCACTTTACCTAATACCGACTTCGCCGATTCCTTTGGAGCCCAATGCACCGCTCCCAGCTCAATCAATGCTAGGCGGCGTATTTGCACCGACGCCTGTAAGCCAAGCATCAGCCTGGGTTGGCCGGCGGCATTCGTACGCGGGCAGCTGGGAAGCAGGAAGAGAGTGCTACTACAGTTCTCGAGCGAGTTCTCAAGCAAGAGATGGCGAAGCTGCAAAGGCGCACTTCGCAGCTGGAAAGTGTGGTGCAAGGGGTGCGGAGGCGGACAGCGGTCGGGAGAAGAGGAGTGGGAAGTCAGTGCGGTGCTCGACTCACGTGTGGAGGGAGGGTTAGCGCTAGATCAAGTGCTGTTCGTGGACCGGAAGACGTCGGAGGAGCCGGCGCAGCATCTGCTTCCCCGCTTTCAGGAACTGGTGGTGAGCATCCATCACTGCGCTCTGAGCAAGGCGCGCATTGTAGGCGACGTTGGCAGGGTGATGGAGAGGATGTGCGCGGTGGCTATGGCGGGTAGCTGTGGCGGGAGTGAGGGTCGGAGAGGGAGCATAGGGGTGGATGCGGGTAGGATGGTCACTGCCATGAGGTTCGGTTAAAGTGATCTAGGTGTCGATGATGGTGAGTGGGAGGGCGGAGAATGGAGGAACGCATGCATGTAAACGGCGTAGGGCATGTAGATCCGGATCGGTGTTGTCGATGACTGATTGCGCTGGCATGTGCAAGGAAGTGCTCCTTGTCGCCTCAATGCTCACACCCACTGATGCAGATGATCACCTTGGGTGAGGCACGCAGTTGGTTGGCAGGAGCTCGGGAGCTCCCGCTTTTGGGCGATCACGGCCTACCTTCACTCCGTATGACTCCTTATTCAAACTACGTCCACAAAACAAACCTGTTCAGCCCGAACCAGCATCTACGTGATCGTAGCGTGTCTGAGACGGCCCTCGTGAGTATGTTCGAGACGAGGACGAAGAGTAGGGTGACCGCCTACAAGTGGGCTCTTGTTGCCGCAAACCGTTGGCTGAGATCGAGAGTTTGGCTCGCCTGAACCGCCGTGATCTAATGATTCCGCTGCAATCGAAGCCTATCACAGCTTCGGCCTCGCTCCGACAAGCAATTCCAGCGCGTGGAAGACGAATAGATGTGCCAAAGGGTGCGATGAATAGCCACGACCACGAGCCCGTTAACAGCTGTGCATATCACGAAGATGCAGCCCGTTGCGGAAAGTAGCCGTCAGTTGCCTTCGCTTTCGAGTACTTGCAGCAGACGCTCGTTGTTCCTTAACTTCCTAGTAGGCTCACAGCACGCCACTAGCGTGTTGAGGACGGCCTCCGCGTGCTTGTGGTGATAGCTCGCGCGAACTGCACGTCTTCATGTAGCCTGCGAACGAGACATCGCACGACTACGCAGAGAAGAATCTCAGCTGCAATGCAAGCGGCCGCAGCAATGTAGCGGCGTAGGTTGTGCCGAGGCTGTGTGGATGTCAATGTGCTCTAGGGATGTGTAGCTGGATTCAAGCCTCGAGGGGCTTCTGGAGACGTCAGGCTGTATGCTTGGCGGCCGGCCGTCCATCGGAAGGCTCGGTCCTCGTAAAGCGATAGCATGAACGCAGTCTGGAGGTACACCGAGTGAGCACTCGCTGGGCCAGCCTGACGAAGTGTTTAGCACGCTGAATAGGTCAATCTTCGCGCAATGGTGCAACAGTATTCGTTAATCGTTGACAGAGACCGGTCACTTCATGAGATGTTCGAGGCGAGAAGCTTCTACCGCGATGGCATGATCCACCCTCGAGAAGCCCAAACCGCCAAGTGCGCAAGCACTTCAACTCGAATAGGTACAGCCGGAGAAACCTTCTCCTTGGATAGGGTGTCGCTGGACACGGCGGTATTGCCCTTCCACTCATCCACAACAACAAGACGGCAAACACGAAGCTGATTTGGAGCTCCTGCTACCTCCGACTGCTTCTCCGACTGCTTCTGCTTCTGTTTCTGCTTCTGTTTCTGCTTCTGTTTCTGCTTCTGTTTCTGCTCCTGCTTCACCGCAACGTCCGCCACTCCATCCACGTTCGTGCACCAGCCTACCTATTGCGGCGCGCTGGACTTGCAGCATCACTGCAAGCTTTCCAAACCGATAAGTATCTCTCCATTCCCAAGAACCCAAGATCGTCGGAGTGAGAGTGCACAAGCCGCTATACAAGATCATTCAGACGTCCGACAAGCTCGTTGTGGTGCGAACAGAAGGCGGAAGTCTAATCTGCATCGATACTCTAGCCGAGAACGGGAGCTTTGTCCCATGCAATGGGAAGTATAAGAAGTGCCGGCCACTGCGTTCGAGATACCAATGGCAACAAGCTTGTCCGTTCGTGCCAACATCAGCTTGAAACCTGCTGTGCAGATCTTGCTAGCAGTATCTAGATCACACGCAGACGCTGTTGGTGCCCACAACAAATCCTGGATGGCTTTTGGAAAGACCACGTGAGACAAGCAGGACTCAACCGTTGCTTCTCCTCAGCGTGGTCACGAGAAGATGTTGCTGACCCATTGTGGCTCGGCCTTCAACCTGCGGCCCTATCGTTGCACACAGTGTCGAAGTCGTTCGACCTGGCTCTGAAGGTAGGTCTCTGCTTGCCTGTAAGCCATGGGGTGGCCAAGCGCAAGTAAGAGACCCTTGTTGCTGATAGGTCCATGTTGATGATATTGTAGTGTGTAGTATCATGATTAACAGGTGCGAGAACTCGGCACCCGGCGTAGTTTGACCGCCTTTGAGACACACCGCTTCAAATCAAATGCGAACATGTCGGAAGTGCACGCTGGGCTTACCCTGGGCATCATCTGCGATGTGCCTGGAGTCGCAAATCAAAAGCCTTGTATTGACCTTACAGGTCTCTCGACACCCGCTCGGCCGCTGACGACACACGAGTACCAAGAACCAACATGAAGCGCAGTCTGCGGCAGCAGTGGCAGAAGCCAGACCACATCTGTTAGAGAGCGGCTGCTGTGAGGGACCGTTGACTGGACATACCCTCCTCCACGTCAGGCTAGAGAAGTGCAATGGCTTGCACTTTCCTCCGGTGATATTTACATCCTGGATCTCGGACTTGGTTTACTGCGCTTGACTTCTGTGAAGAATGACTCGTAGTTGGAACACCGAGGCCATTTAACCAATCATTACCAACCCCAATTGTTACAACCCAGCTACTGGAGTTCACTCATAGGGACCGGCGGCAGCAAGCAGTTCGACAGTAGTACATTTCGCGGGTTGTGCCTGAAATTCGAGCACATACGCCAAAGTGTGCCCGGTTCACCGGCACAGCTACAAAAATATGCCTCGACTGCAGGCACATTATGGTAGTTAGGCGCCGGCAGAGGGCAAAGTGAACGAGCTACAAGCCTATAGCGGCATTAGGGACGATGCGGTGAGGAGGCCGTCTATCCGAGTGTGTAGATAGTGATTAGACGAGCATCAAGCATGTATGCTGATCGTAGAACATCTTGCATATTAGAAAGGTTCAGTGCAGCGTATCTCCATTTATCGAGGGGTGTGCGAGTCATGGGTCGAACAGGACAGGAAGTGAGTCACGGCATCGTGGGTAGTTGTAAGCTTTTCGGTGTTCTCGAGCTCCAGCGTCGGTTGGCGCGTAGGTGACGTGCAAGGCCACGGAGCCACGAAGCTTGCGAGAGTTATAAAACGCGGGTTACTCGGCGTGATTGCGACGTTGTGTCTACTCGTCGATGTTCCATTTCAGACGCGAGGCCTTGAAAGCTCTGATGACGTCGGTCTCTATCTCATCACAGTCGACGCCATGGCAATGTTCATGCATATCAAGTCCGGGAGGGCAGGTTATGGCAGGTTCGGGGACTCTTGCTCGCAAAGAGTCTTTGATCCTCTTCACTTCCGGCATACCAACGTCATCAGAAGCGATGACAAGAGATCCGACTGCGAAAGATGAGGAACTGTTGATTACCGTCCCACGAAGGGTCTCGACAGCTACGCACCGCAGATGGCAAAGACCCCTGCAATGCGAGTGCGGTCAATCAGGGTACTAAGTGAAGCAGAAGTAGTAAGCAAAGAGGACTAGAAAATCATGTGCCACTTGCTGTGGTTGGATGGTCCCAGACGACAGGTAGCAGTAGCAGTCTTGCCGGTGACGTGACCCTAGATCACGGTTAGCCGCACAACGGATCCTTCATACAAGCCTTTCCAGTTTCGCTCGGGATGAACTAAGGAGTCGGATGTCACGCGGATCGCCACTCTTGCGGTAGACCGCGCGAAAGAGCATTACGAGGTTTTGAAAGCACATTCGGCCAGAGCTCTGTGCTTCTTCGCGACTCCTCCGCTGGGTGCCCGTTGTCCTGACTCGCATGCGCTCGCAAGATCTGGCACAGCCATGGCTGTCGCTGCCGAATGCGGGAGTACGAAGAGACATTTCACGCCTGTCTTCGATAGAAAGTAGGTCGTCGAAATATACAAGCTTCGAGAGAGGGTGGCTCGGTCACTCGGTTGGCATCTTGGGCAGCGAAGTCTTGCAGGCGCTCATCTGTTGCATCGATAATGCTACATACGAGCCTGTTGGGTCTTCGAAGTGCGTCTTCGGTATCCTCCGCCTCTCCAAAGCGGGCCTCTGGCGTGCAAGTTGAATCAATAGCCTTGCCTCTGTGGCGCTGCAACTGAACTGGTTGCTGCTGGAGACAATGACGACGTGGGCTTGTACAGACTGGGTATCAGACTGCGTATGACTGGGCGGCCTAACAAGACATCTGATGAAGGTCAAGGTTCGTCTGTGACGGAAATAGCAATCCTCCAGATGGTGAGGGCAAAGTCTACCAGCTCTCGTGGTGGCTCGCGATCCTCCTGCGACAGACTTTACCACAGCCCGGAGATCTGCACTAGCTCTGTGCTGCCAGCTGGACCGGCGTACCATCGGCGACGACATATCTGAGCTCAACAACCATGCACAGACTGCTGCTTCAGCCTGCGATTGCCGGGTGCTAATCGAGATGTGGAAGGTTGAATCCCAGCGAGTCATATCTCTAGTGAAGCATGCACTTGCCCGGCTTAACAGCAGGCGGTTAGAGTGGATTCATTAGAGAATGGACTAACGGACGGAAAGATACTTCTTGTTAGAGGAACAGCTGTATCGATGGAGGCAGCGTGCGGGTCTGGAAGAGCGTGGAGGTTGGAAGTTTTGTCAGGCACGCAATGCTTCCACACGAAGCTCTCGCGGTCTTCTGGCGTGTGTGCCTTTTCGGCGGGCACATGTATCGCTTCTGCTGGCTGCTTTTGGTCAGCGTAGGCAGCCGCGCAGGCCGTGTATCGATGTCGTCTTCTGTTATTCTGCCGTTTGCGGTCGCCTGGCTGCTGTTCAGCGCCTTTGCTTGTGCGCTTCACTCGCAAGTTGCCCCTACGCAGTACGCGCTCTTGCGACGCGTTGTTTCCATCAGGGCAAGCCCCGCAAACGTGACGGCACAGCTAGACTGTTTGGTTCATCTGTTGGTAAGCAGTAACAAAAATGATTTATGTCGCGTGCTCTCAGTGGTCGGCGCTGCAGAAGTGGCGCTCGCAACCGGAAATCTATGCATTTCGATAGGTTCTCAGCTTTTATTCCGCAAATTCCGGAATGTAAACTTTAGCTAGCGCGGCAGTTATTGGAGCTAATCATTGCTTCGCAATGCTTCGCTTGAGTATGCCGTCTCCACGCTGGCTGTGCCACGTGATGGCCCGCTTGCTGCCGCCTCCGCACGGCTGTCGCTTGAGTCATGCACGTGGAGACTTCGGAGCAGAATGCTGTGAGTAGTGTAAGGCTTCGTCCGCTCTCTCTCATGGACACGTCCACTTCAAACCTTCAATAGTATGATCACCCCATGTAAATACTTTCAAGGCGAGCTTACCACACAAGCGGTTCGTCATCACGGCAATAGTTTATTAGAATCCTGGAATGTCATCGCGCGGTAGCGAGATGCTTGGAGATCGGTCAACCATTTGCCATGATTACACTTTTACAGTGTTTCGCAGCTTTACGGTTCGGCCTAGGAACATGCGTAGTCGATGTGGTCGTAGCGCAACCAGATGTCGGTCTCACTAATGAGGAACCGTCCGCTGTATGCCGGTGACAACGGCGAAGACTGGGAATCGACGACTATACGGAATCATTTACACCGGTGATATTCCTGATACGAAGGTTTGCCCGTCCGGGAAGTGGATGGGGAACGAAAGCGAGGCAAGAAGAAATGCTGTCCGAGCATGGTACGTACTGATATGTTACCGGAATGCGAGTCGGATACTATGTACCTCGACACTGTTGTAGCCGTTGCTGTCTTATCCCGGTGGCCCTTACTTGCCACATCCCGCTCGCTTTTCGAATTGCTAGACCAAAAGTCGCGAACCCGCAGACTGTACATTAAGCCAGTGAGTCAAGCGTAATGCGGCAACTATAGTAGCATCGAACACGGCCTTGCCGCTCCTCTGTGTTCCTTTCCCAATCGAGACTGCCAAAAAGCCAACGTGCCCGAGGTCGATCCTCTCTCCAGCTGGTAGGCCTCCCGCTCGTAGCTCGATGACCGAAGGCAATCCATCTCCCGCCGATGCATGGTGAACAGGAGCCGTAGCTGGGGAATCGTCAGCATGGCGCCCTTGACCCTCTACAGACGACACAGGTAGGCGGAGCAGGAGGCAGAAGGAACATGGTGTGCAGCTCGGCGGGCATGCGCGAGGTTGTAGTAGAGATAGGCTGAGAGTGCTCATTCGCCTCTGGTTCGATTGAGGGACGCGATAACGGTGCCTGCGGAAAGCCGGCTGGGACGGCGGACTTGATGGCTTGGGAATTCTCGCAGACCCCAGGTGCATATCATACAGGTCCTGTTGCGATCATTTCTGTCGCGGGCGCCTGAAGCCGTGGGTGATTGGGATACTTTCCTTTTTGCGCTTGGACCTGAGACACCAATCTCGATTTCTGCAAAGGTGCGGATTGCCGCATCTTCTTCGATCTCTGCTTGGACATTCTCAATGCTGGATGTGCAGTCGTCCTGCTGCCTCTGCCGGAAGTAGGCATGCCAAACCTAGAACTTGTGCGAGATCATGTGGAAAGAAGCAATGAAGTTCCGGTAAGGTGGAGACAGGTGCGAGAGATGCTAGAAGTTACATGTTGCTAAGAAGCGAAGGCTCCCCAAGCGACATGGAACAAGGTTTGTTAAGGTCTAAGGAACGTGTAACGGGTCTCCCTGCACGGGAACATTGGTGACGCCGCGCAACCACATGGCTAGGTGTTAGCGCGTACTATATTACACAGGCTGTGGGGTGGGAGGCTGCAGTCAGTAGGAATGTGAAAGGGTTTGGGATGATCATTATCATTATCATTGTTAAGTCAAAGTGGCTGTCGTGTGGAGGGATCATTCGCTGCCGACAGGTGGCTTCGATCCGCAGTCGCGTAGCTCCCGCAGTCTCGCTGTAGGCTTTGCAGATCTCCTCGTGTGAGGAATTTATGTAGATCACGCCATGCCTCCCCGTCAGGTCTCCCAATCTCCGCGCTGGCTTCGCAAACAAAGAGGCACAGGAGAGACTTCGAATCGACTCCAATCTGCCAATAATATTACTCGTGCATTCCATCTCACGAGCAGCAGCAGCGCAAAGGCAGTGTCGCAGCCACAAAACGCTGGAGGACCGCCACTGAGGTGCAAGTAACCGCAGCAACAGCAGGATCTGCCACTTTCTAGCTTCTAGCTCTCGTTAACCCGGTGTACTACGTCGATATCGATGGCGTCACCTTGGCTGCAGTCGCATGCTTATCCGTCAATTCTTGGTGCAGCGGTAATACGAATGAAACTAGCAATATTGGCGCTCATTCTGCCGGTGGCGGTCTTGTCCATCTTGCTGGAGACTGCTCAGAAGATCGTAGGCATTCTGTAAGCATATACGACATGCGCGCTGAAACGGTCCACAACGATAGCCTGATACCGTGCCGCTGCAAGCTGCGGCAACACCCTGATTCGGAATGTTGTGGTGCTGGCAGCGCTGTACGTCATTGAGGACTCTGCGTTCCGCCCGCAACTACTTGGAATAACATACTGCAGCCACCTCATAAGACCGCCAGCGACGGCAGTGTATCTGGGCATCTTGCTCTCTCGCCAGGTCTGATGTTATCCAAGCCGTTCAAACTCATATATCTCCGACATATCTAATGCATTTCCTTCCCCGGTCTTCGAACATTCGCCACCATTTGCTTTCATCTTTTGCTTGATCATTGCTTGGTAAGCTAGCTGATTGCCTTGGAGGCGGTCCGCATGGAGGACGCCAGCTCTGCGCACTGATTTACGAGTTCAGGAAACGATATCAGTCCTCCAGTACGATTGCCGATCGATCCGCCGAAGGCCGCTGATTTAGTTCACCAGTCGCCATCGCATCTACGTCGGAAATGTGACAGCCGTTGCACTGCATTTACCGCGCTACCCCCTTCTCTTTGATCCAGTAAGCACGCTGGCGCGAAGTTTGCTCGCTCTTGTTATTCGCACGCTCGGCATGACTTACAGCTTCCGCCCGCCGACCATCCGGCAGCCGCGCGAGTGTGCTCGGTGACTGCCGTACAGCGCTTACTCTGCAGGTACTGGTACCTGGTTGTAAGCATGGTTCTGCGCACACCATCGACGGCAGTTGCCCTTGGCATGACCTTTGGCACTGCGGACCTCAACGTCGCCGGTCGCTTGCTTTGGTTTTGGTGACAGCTTATTGACAACTTCTGTACTTCCGCCCTCACACTCCGCTCGTTTGACAGTCCCTCTCGTGAATGCCATGCTGTTTCGCCGCCACTACGGATGCCATGAGATGTGCAGCGCTCCACCACGGTCACGCGCCAGTGACACGCGGAATACTGGATCATCGCGGATGGCCCGACGATGGTTTGCATAGTGTTTTGCTCGTAAGACGTTGGCCTGCCAAGCAAAACCGGCCCCTGTGATGGAGTGAACATCGAAGTTGAAGGTGAACGCGGAAAGAGAGGCTGAGAGCGAGAATGGCTCTCGCCTGAGGTCGCCATCCCAGCTACGCCGTTGCTACTGTCGAGCAGACCTATCAGAGCAATCACTTCAGCATCAGCTTAGGGCCGGCAGATTGCACAGAAGCAGCCCGCTCTGCGCAGCGCCGCTACAGCAGAGACTACTAACGGGGTGGACGTATGCGAGTTGATCACTCGTGTATGTCTCCCAATTGCTCCATCACAGGCCCGCTCGTTCGCACCCCACCACGATGCCAGACACTACATACCCATCATGCTGCCAGATCTTCGTCCCCAACTCTACTGACATAGGTGTGATTACATGCTTGTGCTAGCGCTGTATTCGCGCTTATAACCTGTCGAACGGTTATGGTCGAAAGGTTAGGGGGTACGTTCTCACCTCCTTCTGATCTCCCACTCAATATATGTGCCAAATACTTGGTCAAATGTGCCAGGCAAAATGGTCACATGAGCCGGTACTATGGTCACATGTGCCGATTGTTCGGTCACATTTTCCGTTACACCCATTCCTGTTGCTCTCATTGAAACGCCTTCGTCTGGCCAACCGTGTGAGAAGAGGTAGCAACCACCGCTTGAAAGGACCAACCTTCTCGCCGCGATCTGCTCCTCACACCAATTCCCCTTTGTCGCTTTCCATTGCCTAACTACGGCACTGACGGCCGCGACTGCGCTCCGCCATTGCAAGCGTCTGCTTTCTATTGTCCACTGTTGCGAATGCTTCTTCACGCTTGTCTTCCAACACGTCTTCTCCTCCGAAGCTTAGACGTACCGGCTTGAAGGCTGTCACGATCGTCGGTAATCACCAGCGCACTTGACTGCATCTCCATCTGTGTTGGTGCACCGAGAGGCCACGCGCCCAAGACTTCCATGGATATAAGTACCAAGCGCCTCCAACCCTGTAAACGGGGACGGCTCGCCACTTCAAGGGTACTCCCCATCCTTAGTCCTCAACTCGTCCAAATCCTGGATCACCCGGAAGTCTTCCCATGGGGATGTTTGAGTCAATGATGACCGCGGAAGGCTGGGTCTATACGCGCTTCCGAACGTTGCGGCGTGATGATCATCCTCTCAACAGGCTGTTGACCGAGATTGGCACGGATTGAGATGGTCACATGGCGCTGATTGAGCTCTGTAGCGTGACCGCGATTGGCGGACGCTGAGTGCGCTCAGTCTTACTCTCGTCGGTGACTGTCTCACCGCCTTCGAACCGCTCTGTCAAATGTGTTTCTTCTCGACGAGACACGCGAAGGCCCTACGAAGCGAAAAGATGGTCAACCTGTGGCAAGATGACGAGGAGAGCATTGTACTGGTCCGAGGAGAGATGCACATGGCTTCATTAGGCGCCTAGTCTTCGATATTGCGGATATAGACACCGTTGGATCTGGAGACAAGCACTGCTACCTTTGACGATACCTCTTAATGAAGTTAGGACTGTTACTCCGGTGCGGGAATCCAGGCTACCTACCTCAAAACACTGCGAAGCTGTAACCATACACCATCTTTGACTCGCTAGTCACCTGTCTCATTTCACCGGCTCTCTTACTGTGGAGGGTGACAGCTCGAGCAGACGTTCGCGTGGCCGACAAGGCTGAGGGATGATTTTCCGCATCAGATTCGTAGTCTTGTCCATCGGCACCATGGATGAGGCCATGCTCGCAGCAATCCTCCGGCCACGCGACACGTACGGAAGTGGTCGTTAGTGGTCGTTAGTGGACCGCTAGCTCGTGCGGCATGGCACAGACGGCTTCCATCTCGTGCTCAATGGATTGCATCGACGTGGGTAGGCTGGAGGAAGAATCAAGCTGTTAAAAGGCCTCGCCTGAGTCGTCAGAAGCGGCTTTACCATTCCGATGTCATGTTCAAGCTACATAGGAGCAGTCTGGTGCGCGTGTGCACTTCATAATACCTCAGCTTCTGGGAAGAAAGCGGCCGTCACAATGATCTGTTCTGTTTCCCTGGACAGTCTCAGCCATGCAGCCCGGATGATGCCCGCCATTAACACGACCCGCACACGAGATCGCGTGGGCCGTACTTTCTTTCCTACGTTCCAAAGGACCAATCACCCACATCTTGGAAGGATAGGAAATAGATGCTATCTCCACGTCATCACACCGGAAACCATGCATTCTCTCTCGCATTGTACCTATTCAGTAAGTAAGTAACAGCCACAAACATGAAGAGGGTTGAGGTGCGGCGAGTGCATCCTGCCTGGCTCCTGGCAAGACATAGTAATGCGATCATGATCAAGATTAGAGCTAGTGGAAAAGAGGACTGTGGTGGTGCAAAAGCAAAAGCATTCGCGCACTGCGGAGGCGAGAGGGTGTACCCACGTCCTAGTGGGGGAAATGGAAGGAGGCAAGCGACTAACGGACGTAGAAGAGAAGAGGTCGCAATGTCGAAGTGAGGCGTGTTTGAACTGTTTGCGCGGTTTCGAACCTCCCTTATCCACTGTGTCCTAATTCCCTCACATTCCTTCATCCATCGTTCTTGATCACCTCATGCGTAAAACATCTCATGCCTCCGTACATCATCTCACATACCATCCTGAAGCACAAGCCCAATGTATTCCAACCCCGGCTGCTTTCATCTCCATGTCCCACGTCGACGTAACCATTGCATGCAGCGCTCGGCACGTTGGATCAGGGTGTGCATGGCGCACAGCCTGCTCCAGCTTCTGCGCGCGGAGGAAGTTGAAGGCATGAGTGTAGGTGACGTGCAGAAGGGCATCGTAGTCGTTGTTGCCAGCGGAAACAGTTGGGATTGCAGAGCCTATCCTTGTGGTAGAGAGCTGTTTGCGAGGAGCGGCGGGGACCGAGCTGTCAGCAACATGTCCATGCTCTTTTGGTTGTTGGTGGAGGAAGAGGAAGAGGAAGAGGCGGTGTGGAACAGAAGCGGGTTGAGCAGCGGCCATTCAATAGAACGCTTTTGCGGCGACTGCTCCATGGTCCACGTTGTCATTCGTGTGAGCGTCGTGGACAGCTCGGTCGCAGCCATGCTCGTCACGGTAGTGGAGGCGGGCCAACCAGTGCATCACTTGAGATGTGCCAGACATGGCCCCTGTAGCCATAGACAGTGAAAGTTGGCCACTTTGGAGGCTGTTCATTGCCTGCTCTTGCTTGATCAAGACGCACAAGCACATCTGAAAGCGCTTCAGTCTTGCGCCCAATGGCTGCATGGTCATGCTTCTCCCTAGGACTCGTGGCAAGAAGTGCAGCTGCGTTTCGCTGCTCAGAGGCCGTAGGCGGAGGTAGCGGAGGTGGCGGTGCTAGAGGTAGCTTTGGCGGAGCTGCTGGGGTCAGACAGTGCCTTCGCGGCCTTGCTAGCACCAGCAAAAAGTGTGGTCGGGGTTGAACAAGCGAACCGACTTGCCTTCGACGCGGGTATGCGGTATTGCGGCTGTATGTCATCGTTCTGCTTCAGTGGCTCGCGCTGCATCGGCTCACATCGCATCCGCTGTGGCGCTTTCTGCTTCGCCGCCTCCTGTGCTTGAATGACGTTGAGCATGACAGGCGGTGCTTTGTCCAGCAATCCAAGCTGTGATTGTATGGAAGTAGGAACAGACTGGTTAGAGGCTACAGTAAAGAGCTGGATAAGTTGCGCAGGCTGCTCAATATGTGCCGCCGCGGTGTATGCAGCTTGATGACACGAGGAAGACGAGGCCGCTTACTCCGGTGCGTCCAGCGTGACGCCATCACGTGGTCCTATTACCCGCGATAACACCATGTGGCCGTTCGCCCGTGATGCCGCCATGCGATCCATCACCCGCGATGCCCATTAGATGCATGATCCACGATGTCGTTCATGAGACCCATCAGCCGCAATACCATGTCAAGTACGCAAGCGACACAGTGGAGTGGTCGTTGCCTGACCCACCAACAATCGATAATCGCATAGAGGCGGATGGCAACAGCCTGCGAGAGCTTCTCTAAGGCGTCGAGACAGAGCTGATCGCACTGATGTACAAGCTCGCAAGCGATACAGGTGCGAGTAACCCTGCAGCTTCTGAAGGATGGCCTTCTATAAGTCGGGATGTGGAACGGGGTACTTGCAGCTCCAGGTTATCCACATCACCTGTCGCTGAGACGTACCGATAAAGCAATACAGGATCTCCTTCTTGATATCAAACACATCTCGTAGAGTGCGCTGCAAATCCGCACTAGCGTCGACCATGCGGTTGAGTTGCCGCATGGCGGTGGGTGAAGGAGTGATCGTTGTTGCGCAGCATGACGAAAGCAAGATGTGAGCCACCATTGCAGAGCGACCGCTCACAATGTGCGCGTTAGGAGGCTCTGCCGTCTTCTCGGTATGATCCGCTGCGTACCGTTGAAGCGCATTGTTGAGAGACAACCCTATCACCTTCTGCGATGGTCGAACGGCCGTTTCGCCTATGGTTGCTAACCATGGCGGGGGCGGCAGAGAGGTGGCTGTCGTTACCGCTGTCCGGACTGCGTGCGGTTCGGTGCGGCGACTTGTAGCTCCATATCATCGATTTCAACGCCTTCGGTCACAGGGTGGTTGCCTTCCGAATTGTTGCTGTCGCATCACCGTCAGTAACGGTGGAATCGTCGGAATACCGGATCCAGAAGAAGATGTCTCTCGTGCTTTCCTTCTCCGGCTGCTGCTGCCACTGCTGCTGCTGCTGCTGAAAAAGATGCTGCCCGTACTCCTTCGCCGAGTCCGTGCGAGAGTCAAAGCTGCTAACTTGCTCGCTGGTGCACACTCTCCATTCCAGCCTCTAATGCACACTCACACACATCCGATCGAGCACGTTTTGCTGCTCTACCGCGATCACGTTGCGGCAATAGGCATCCTGCAGCACGATGTGCTTCTTAACGAAGAGAATGCATGCGCAAGAACTCGCGTCTGGTTTCGCAAGGCGTCGTACCTTCTTTACATAATGCCGGCCTTGCCCAGAAGAATGGCGTCCATTACAGCAAGCGAGAGCCGCCCAGCGCAGGATAAGTGGAACTTACTGTCGAGGAAACATGGCGATGCATTCCTTTCAGCAGCTTTCGATAGAGGGTGCGGGATACAGTCTAATCATCTATATTGAAGCCTAGGCGGAGCATCAGTCGATGTAGACGTCGCGGTGCAGGGGAGCCATGCTGGCAGTAGCCCTTTCTGGCACGGTAGCCGATGATGAGCCGGATCTGGGTGGGTTGCCGGATGATATGGGTGTTGCCACCACGGATCTTGCCGGCCTTCAGACTTATCCAACAGTCTTGGGGCCGACGTGATAGTGGTGGGCGATGTGAGCGCCGACTACTGTGCGAGATGGACGCGCAAATAACGGGTGCAATGACGGGGTCTTCGCGCGGTCTTGGCAGGTCGGCGGCTGAGAACCTATTGCGAAATGTGGTTGCGATTCGGCTCGGGAGTCCGGATGCGGGGGGGACGCTTCCTTGTTGCCTATTTTTGTTCGAGATCCATTCCGACATAAATCCCAAAGGGGTTACATAGCATCTTGATATGGCCAACGACCACCCTTTAGCACATCCCACACACTCACGTCTTCTTCTCATCGCCTCATGTAGCATGATCCGAGAGTCGAGGGAGGGAAGCGAAGACATATTACGCCGCCAGCGATCGAGCCAAGCGCTTGACTGTGTCGAGTACTACGTGGCACGTAGCAGCAATTTCGGTGTGATGGCAGACTGCAATGGCGCGTGCAGCGTGCAGCGCAATGCCTACAGCCAGAGTCTAACGTAACGGACGTCGGTGGTTGGCGATGTATACACGACTTCGTCCTTGCAGCCCCATCACGGCGAGCATACAGCATTCACCCGCAATGCGTGGAAAATGCCGTGTTCACCAAGGTCAACGGCCCCGACTATGAAGCTTGAGTAAACTCCCTCATTGTGACTCTTGATCGCGATAGCCTATGCATTCGTGCCACCACTACCACCACCCACTGCAGCACTTTCTCCTACCATTCGCCGCTTCCTTGTTATCTTCCTTCTTGACCGACTCTGGCGTCTCCTTCGAGGTGGCCTCTGCCGCCGCCTCCGCCACGACAGCCGCCCGGGGCTCGCAGACAAGATCGCGGAAGGGGTTGTATCGAAGAATCCGCTCCTAGACATCGAGCAGGAGGGATGGATCCGGCGCTGCATCGATCTCACCCGGAAGGCAGACGTAGGGAAAGGGATATTGGTCCAGCGTACCTACGAGCTCCAGCAGCGACTCGACAAGGATGCGCAGGCTGGAAGAGCCTCCGGTAGCACGAAAGCGAACAGCTGGCCGGCATCCAGTCATGCCCAGCCAGTCCGTCCGCTTCGTGAAATGCACCGCGGTCAGACCGATTGTGGAGGACGTGTTGGCGGACCTTCATCCCTCCTCAACGCTAGTTGGTGCGTGCGGGGGGAAGCAGCGCCCAAGGCCTAGCGACGGCGAGCGATAGCTTCGATGTCGAAGGCTTCCCGAATCAGTACTTGTTTTCATACGACAGCAGTCATGGAGACCGCTTGCGCTGGCCCGGGGAAGAAGGCTGGGATTTGGAGTTGAGAAAGGCTTGGAATGGCCCAACTTGATTGAAACTGGTCAGGGCGAGAGTTTGACGGTTTCCTGGCTGTACTACGGTTTTCCACTCGCCTATGGCCCGGCTTGTACACCTGGTAGGGTTGCAGGGCATGCAGATAGGGTGGGATGCTCTTGTTGAGTGGGAAGAAGGGATAAGCAAGCAGCCGAGCTGGCAGCCGACGCTTTCACCAGCTCTTCGTACCGAGTCCGACACTGTTTGCCGACATCATCTAAGCACCGGTCACTTCCAGCCGTTTCGAGACGCTCATTTTGGTTGCTCCATTGCTTACCGACAGGTGGGAGCCTCAATCTCATCAACCTCGCCGTGTCGACAACCTCCGCCGCAACCAACCAAGTCAGATGTCCAAGCCCAGATACCAGGTTGACATCAGCGGCGAGAGGAAGCTCTTGAGAGGTAAGGCGATGAAGTTGGGAAGCCTTTCAACGCTACAGATATCTAGCGAGTCTGTAAACGCTTCACGCATGATACGGTGCCCTCGTAACCCTCAGCACATTGACGAGGACTCCTCGTGCACGCACTAAGGCGCAATGTTATCCTCACCTAACCTCTTCCGCTGAATGCTTTCTGTCAATCGACTCGCGTATAGCTCGGGCCCCCGACAGTACCAGCTACGCAAGAAGGCTGCGCGAAGTAGGTTCGTAGTGACTTGGGCGGAGGCTGACCGCCAAGCAAAAGCTCATGTTTCACTATGTCTGTTACCATCGTCAGACACATTGCTGGGAATTCACTATCACCCGGATGCCTGGCTAGGCGCACCTGTGAGGCCATTCCAGCTGGACGCATTACTAGGCCCGCTCCCACCTTCTGCGCCTGGCAATTCCCAAGCGAAGACGGCGAGCTCATCTGTATAACCGACGCCGAGCCCGCCTACAAGGAGAAGGTGGTTGTCATGCTCGAGCATGCATGTACCAAGGAGGCTGCGAAGAATGTTCAGCTGCTCAATGGGCTGGAGCACCAAGTCGGTAGGCTGAAGGACGGAAATGTCGGACTGATGGAGACATCACTTCTTGAAGTACTTCGCGAAGGCAAGCGGAATCTGATGGAGTACAAGGACACTTGGCACACTCAGCATGTCGTTATTCCCGCGCTTGAGGAGTATGAGCGAGAACAGATCGCCAATGGTCTGGTGGAGAAGGACTGAGAGCCACATACTCTGGACGGGGAATTCGTACTTTTATCGAGCCAGACGGCGACGTTGCTACCTGCAGCGAGACCACCGACGACCTGCAGCAGGACCTTTCTCGCTACGCTCAGCGCAACCACAGCCCGAAGGATGGAGCCGCTCGTGTTTTATTGAATTTGATGGACAAGGCCGCTCGAAACACGGAGCGTATACATGGGAGCTCAAAGCCGCAATCGAGGGCATGCCAAGTGATCGGCGCGAGCTACAGGAGCAGGTCGCGTGCGATGAGCGGTATGTCACCACCATGATGAACGAGGACTGCGATCGCATACGTATGTGGGTGGAACATGGGGCTCGGACTGTAGGGGAGTGAGCGAAGGGGCAGTACCGAGCGATGGATGTATGGGTGGCTCGGAACAACAGCTGACTACGACAGTGAATCAGTTGCGTGAGATTCATCCGTGCTCCAGGGAGGGTTCTGAAAGCAACAAGGGGCGCAGGCAGACCAAGGGACTTTTCATCCACACAGGCTCGTTCTAGCCCCCCCTCTTCGACAAGCATGTTTGTCCAGCCGATCCCCGCGCCATGCTCCCACAGGCTTCCTCGTCCACCTCTCCCTGCAACTTATCCACCTCCGCCGATAGTAGCAGCTTTTGGCTGCCACGGTACATTCGCTTCGCCCGGCGCATCGCGGCAATGCCTTCCGGATCCACCTTGACGAGCGGTTTCCCATCCCGCAACCACGACTCCAACTCCCGCTTCGACTTGAGCGCTCGATGCACGTCGGCCGGGTCAACACCACCAGCCCCGTCCGCTTCTTCTTCCGTCCAATTGGAAAGCGAGGAGAGGGACACGCGCTGCATTTCGGGCGCGACCGCGAACGTCTCCGCCGTCTTGTTGCCGATAAAGTGGCGCAGGAAAGCCTTGATGCCGTCCTCGGGCGAATCGCCCTGGTACATAAGGTCGATGAGGTTGCGGCGAAGGTGGTTATGCTGCATGGCTTCCGCGTCGACCGTCTCGGAATCCCACAGCCAACCGGGTTTGCGCTGCTTCGTCTCCAGCACTGGAATGGCGTTGATGAGCGCTTCGAAGTCGTCGCCCCAATGCACCGCCCGCTCCAGCTTGTCCGGCAAGTGGTCCAGGAACACGTCCAGAGCTTCGACGCAGGTGCGCACGGCGGCATCCAACGTCACGACTTCGCTGTGGCCCAGGCACAGGCGCCACAGCGACCAGGTGCTCTCGAAGTGCCGCGCCAGATATCCCCGAATGGCGAACCAGATGGCGAAACCCTCCATCCCCGGCTGCCGAGCGTGCGCGCGAATGTCGTCGGAGAGCACAAACGCACGGTCATACGCATTCGGCGCCGTGGCCGGCAGCGCCTCGTACGCAACCGTGACCCGATTGAGAGCGTGCCTGAAGCGGCCGAAGCCGGTTTGATGGAAGACCTCGTAGACGTGCACGAGCTGCGCGAGGCGCTGATCGATGCGGAGGTAGTGGTGGACGGGCCCGATGTCAAGGCGCGTCGGCCTCTCATCCAACTTCTGGCTACCGGCCCAGCGAGTCCGCTTCGTCTTTCGTCCGCACGCCAGAGGCTGGACGTCGAAGCGGGCCTTGCGCGTGGCGTTGCGCAGCACGGCCGCATCCCCCCCGTATCCGTTCTCGATCATGGCGTCGATGTCGCAGCTCATGGCCGCCTGTCTGACCTGGATGCGGTCCAGCGGATCCATGGCGGGGAGCAGTTCGTACAGGTCCGTGAGGATCTGCGGGAGGCCCGGGGCGTAGTGCTCACTGGTGATGAAAGGACGCATGCGCGCGATGATATAGTGCTCGGTCGTGAGGGCGAAGTGGAACATGACGAGGGAAACGATGAGGTACCGGAACAGAAATCGGGGAGGCGATCGCGAATGCGTCCACCATATGGCGGTGATGTACAGGACTCCCGCGGTGTCGCGCGCCGGACCCGGAACGAGGCAGAAGGGGAGCAGGAGCAGCAGGCCGTGGACGGCAAACGGTCGGGCAGGGTCGAGCCAACGCCGAACGGCGGGTTCGTGTTGCGGTGGCAGCCGGGGGAGTAGGACACAAGCTTCTACCAGGAGCAGCGCGATCATGACCCCAGTGACAGCGCAGCCGAACCGGCTGAGATGTGCGCCGAGACGCTCGCCGATGAGCACGAGGTCCGCGCGCAGAGTCTCTGTGGTGAGCTCCATCTGTAACTTGGCTCGTGATGCGGATTGGCACGAGTTTCGGAAAGGCGGTAGATGGACATGATGGAAGAGGAGAGAGAGAGTACGTACAGACAAAGGAGAGATGGGTGTTTGGTTTGCAAACGAACACCACCACGAATGACTCCCTTCGACCTACACACGCCTGCCATGCGGGAAACACGTCAGTGGCTGGCTGGTCTGCATGCACGCGCCCGAGGGAACATGCATGCAGGTTGTTTGAGAACATGCAAGGTAGGTGCAAGCAGTCTGGAAGCGGGAAGGATGCTGGGCGGTAAAGGGGATGGTAGTGAGAGAGGTCGGAGCGGATGATGATGATGATGAGGAAAGGTGGGAAGAAAGTATGCACGGCGAGGAAAGTTGGTATTAGAGGCACCAAGCTATCTGGGCCCGTCGTCTCGCCGTGACGCTTGCTATGCGCTAGTCTGGTAGTAGTAGTAGTGTTAACAAAAGAAAGCATGTCAAGCGAGCCATAAAATCTGCAAGCTGGATATCCATGCCAACAATGAGGATATCACCACCACCACCACCACCACCACGTCCCGGGCAGTGCACGCACAGTCCTTCTCCTCCTCCCCCTCCTCCTCCTCCTCCTCCTCCTCCCCCACCTTACAAGACCCCCTTCTCCGCCTTCACCTTGGCCTGCAACTCGTACAGGAGGGCGATGGTGTCATCGGTGAGCTTGGCCTGGGTGGCGATCTTGTCGGTGTTGAGGTCGACCATCTGGTCGTGCTGCCCGACGCGGCTCGTCAGGGCGTGGTAGAGGTCGTGGAGTTGCTGGTAGAGCTCATCCTTCCCGCCTTTGCCGGTGGTCGCCTGGATCTTGGCTACGGACGAATCCTTCTTCTTGGCCGCCGTAATGATCTTGCTCGACTTCTGCTTTGCCGGCTTCTGACGCGCATTCTCGGCCTCACTCTCCTTCGAGCTCTCCTCCTCGCCCTCCGAACTCTCCGCCGTACTCTCCGCCGAACTCTCCGCCGAACTCTCCTCCAGGATGGTCTTAGCCTTGCCAGACCCTTTCTTCCCCGCCGTAACGTTCTTGGTCGAGTTCTGCTTGACCTGCTTTGCCTTGACCTGCTTCGCCTTGACCGGCTTCGCCATGACTTGCTTCGCCTTCGCCATGGCTTGCTTCGCCTTCGCCTTCTTCGCCTTCGTCTGCTTGGCCTTCGCCTGCTTCGCCTCCTTCTTATGCGCATTCTCCACGTCCTTCTCCTCCTCATACTCACTCTCCGCCGTACTCTCCGTCTCCGCCGTACTCTCCACCGAACTCTCCATCCCCACCAAGCTCTTCCCCCCAACCGAACTCTTACTCTCCACCGAACTCTCCACCTCAAGCGCCCCGACATGATCCCAAACCCCGGCCACCGCCACCTGACCCAGCGCGCCATCCACAATGCGCTTGTACCCGAGCTTCTTCGCCGCCGCCGCACCCGCCGCCGGCTCGTGGTACGCACGCAGGTCGTCGGACTCCTGGGCGACCATCACCTCCCACGAAGCCAACTTGACGCCGCCCTTCTGCACCCAGTACGCAGTGTGCGCCTTCCACACGACGCGCTTGCTCGCATCGATGCCAAACGCGTTGGGGATGGTGCCGGGGTGGATGTTATTGTCGATGAAGGCGAGGGTGCGCTCGAGGCAGGTGCGGTAGACGAAGGGGCCGTAGATGGTGGGGATGCCGACCAGGTCCGCTAGCCTGCGCGCCGTCGGGACGTCGGGACGAAGGGACTTGGAGATGCCGAGGTGGGCGCAGCCGGCTAGCACGCGGCCTTTGGCTTCGTCGGACCAGACGAGCACGCCCGGGCAGCCGTCACTGGCGTCGGCCTGCTTGGTGAGGGCGCCGAGCTTGAGGTTGACGAAGATCTGCAATGCAATGCAACGCATCAGATGGCTTGCCGAGAAGGGGGAAGGAAAGATGGGGGGAAAGGAAAGATGGTAGGGGGAGGAAAGATGGTGAAGGGGCAGACGCACGATGAGGTGACACTTGGAGAGCTTCAGCTGCGGCGTGTGCTTGGATGGAGGCACGTCCAGCATGATGGTTTCGGCCTTGGCCTGCTTGTCCGTCAACGTGGATTTGACGCACCATTCGGAGGGCACGATGACGGTCGACATGGTGGATCAGGGGGGCGAAATTGTCCAGGCGAAAGTCGTTGAGTGGTGCGTATGGAAGGGAGGCTTTGGTGGATGTACTTCTTGAGCAGGTTCGCCCCCGACACAGCCGCCCATTAGCCATGAGCACACTGCCGCCCGTGCAGAACCCGCTCACCGCTCACCGCTCACCGCCGCCGCCGCCGCGTCCCGTCAATCGTATCGCTCCCGCCGGTTTGCATCGCGATATGCGGTAGGCGGTAGGCGGTAGGCGGTAGATGGTAAGTGGTAGGCGGTAGGCGGTCGACGGAAGACGGTAGGCGGTTAACGGTAGGCGGTAGGCAGTGGACGGCAGTCGGCAGTCGGCAGTCGGCGTGGAGAGTGTCTGCAATGCACCCCGTTCTCCTCCATGCTATTGCTCTTGTCTCACTCTGCTTTCAAGCCCTCCATCGCCGACTCATCAGCTTGCTCGCAAACCTCTCATCGTCTTGCTGATGGTGGTGGTACAGCTGTGTATGCTGAGGGTGGGAGTATGAGTGGGAAGCTGGATGTAGTCTTCGCTTGTGCCATGCCGAGAATGAGCTTGATGACCATGCAAAGCAGCCGACTACCCGCCGTTCACGTGACTGCTGTACTCCAATTCATCTAAATCACACTTCCGACCGCAAGAAGGTCAAATGGGCTGCCGGAAGAAACGTGGTCATGGTGTCGGGGGTTGTTCGCTTAGCAAGAAGAGCCACGTTCTGCCGGCGCATGCTGCCTGAGGAGAGAAGGTAAGAGTCAGTGAGTGAAGTACACCGAGGTGCGTCTACCCAAAAGGCATCACAACGCCGATATGCGGGACGCGTCTTGACATTGTAGACGCGATCTCACTTAGTAATCATCACCGCGCAACGGAACTAACCGTAGCGTCTGATGGTGGAGGGCGCGCGCCTCAAGCCATTCCCACTGCTCACGTGCCAGTTCCCACCGCTCACGTGCAATTCCCACTGCTCATACGTACCTCCCACCCCACGCACAAGGAGCTGCTCACGTAACAAGAGCTGCTCACGTAAGAAGAAGCGCTTACTTACCACAAGAATTGCTCTCTCACGACAAGAACTACTCCCTCACGACAGGAACTGCTCACTCATGATATGAACTACCCACTCACGATATGGATTACTCACTCACGACAGGAACTCCTCACTCGCGCTATAAACCACTCACTCACGATATCAACTACTCATCCCTACAAGTACTGCTGAGTCCTGCAAGTACTGCTCACTCCTACAGGTACTGCTCGCCCCTACAAGAATTGCTCCGCACACGAGCAGGGGACTGCTAGCCGTGCAATGAGGGAGGACAGCTTGCCGCACAGGATTATCGCCATCAAAGACAAGAAAGCGGCACTGCACACAAGCTTGTCGTCACGGCAGCCCCTCGAGGTCCGTCGGACACACCATGTGCATAAGCCAGGTCTTGTTCGGGTCGATGTCGCAGATCGTCTCCGCCTCCGTCTCCCCAGACCTGCCTATATCCATAAGTACGGAGTCAAACTCATGCCGGCCTTCTTCTCTTTCTGCGTGCTGAACTTGCTTATTGCGTTCATCCGTCTTCCTTGAGCTTCGCCGTTTTTTCGGTGGTTCTTGATCTCATGCGAAAAGTTGAGTTTCCAGAACCTTGCTCTCCGCCTGGCTCGCCAGATCCCATTCCCGATCTTGTGTCGGGCTATGTTGTTCGGCCGTATTCGTGTTCATTGTTCAGAGTCTGCTCTAGGCTGGCAAGTAGATCCTCATCCTCGCACTCTTACTCTCCCTCTCCCTCTCCCTCTCCCTCTCCCTCTCCCTCTCCCTCTCCCTCTC